CCACACTGATATTATACAATTTCCAAATGTGATTCCATTTCCCTCTTTCTTTCCCTGTGAAACGAACTTGCCCTGAAACATACACAAGCCCTTGACTCTGCCCTCAGCCTTGTTTCATGGCTCAGCCGTCAGTAGTGTTCATTATACATTGATTGGGAAGAAAACATAAGCCAAACCTTTTTTCCTTGAAGAAGCGCAGTGCACACTGCGGGCAGTAAATAATGACACAGAATCAGAACAAACAGTAGCTCCTGTGGAGTTCGGGACAGCAGGTGTACTTTGCTAGAAAGTTAGAAATTCAAGAATTTGGTCTCTGATGGCAATAGGCGTAGGTTTCAGGGGAAAGACGAAGCAATGTGGACTTGTATCCCATGGACATGACCAACATACTCATTAGAAGAGCAAAAGACAAAGTGAAATTGTGGGGAGCTATGTGGATTGTGTAGTGAACATTAAAAGAGGAAGGAAGGGAGGGAGGGAGGAGGAGAGAGAGAGAAAGAAAAAGAGAGAGAGAGAAAGGAAACAAAAAAAACCCTTATCTTTTTTAATAAAAGAAAAAGAAAATGTCAAAAACCCATGTAGCAACAACAAGGTGTGTTTCTGAGTTGTTTCCTTGGGGATCAAAAATACATGCACTATTTTCTCTTTATTATATCCTTTTCCTTTGTTTTCTATTCCTACCCCTACTTACCGTATGAAGGATGGAAAATAAAACTAATTCAAGGCTAAAGAAAATGTTAAAACATGTATCTAGTACTAACAATGAGCAGAGAATTGAACTAAACACATTGGACAAAAAGGAAAATATTCCTGTTCTGAAATTCACAGTCTAGTTGCAGAGTAAAAGGTAAAGAATTACAATAAAAGGAAAGAACCACCAATTAGTTATTCCGTTACCATTACTCCAAAACATTCAGTTCATATCCAATTATAGCACTTATACAGTATTATGTAGGATAATTCTATAATTCAAATAGCCCTCTAGCTTCAAAAGCAAATGCTACCGTTTACCTGATTCTGAGATGTTTAGATGTGTTCGGGAAAAAAATTATTGAATTCTTACAGAAACTGTCAGAAATGAAATATTTATTTGCTGAACTCTTCACCTGCCATTACATTTGGTTCCTCTAGTTTTCACCCCTGCCCCACCCCTTCTCTTTTTTACATCTTATAGTTGACATGGAATTGTACTTTTATCTGGGTCTATTGGGATAAAGAGGAAATCTTAAAGATATCATGCTGGTGATTTATACCTGTTTATCTCTTGGTTTGGTTAGATAAAAATTCGGATCCAAGGAAGGAGCATAGTTTTGGAAAAAACAAAGAAATAAGAATTCTGTATTGCTCATTTTTGTTTTCAGATTGTTAATTTTGGAAACAAATGTTTTAGAGAAGAGTTATGTATTGTTTTGTTTGTTTTTAATTTCTGTTTTTTCTTCATAATAAACTGAGAACAGTAATAAAAAATATATAAGAGACCAACGAAAGGGATTCAGCAAGTACTGGTGCTATTCTCTCTGTTGGCATTTTCCATGAAAACACTGAATCACAAACAGTAAGGAAAAATCTATGGCATCAGAAATTGAAGAATGATTATCTACAGAGAGTCTTTCAGCTTGCTCATTGATTGAACAGGGTTGCATGACAAAATCACTGTTGATAAGAGCTGTAGACCCTTCAGTTTACTTGGAAAATGGAAAGCTAGTCATTTTTGTGAGAGTTATCAGCAATCTGTCAAATTTTACCCATCAATGGGAAAGTTGGGATTGTTTCTCTCAGTAGTAAAAAGCTTTATGTATTTTTCAAGGAAAGATTTTTCCTTTTCTCTCTGCTCCATTTCTCCATAAAATAGAACACAAAAATAAAGCCTTCTTTGTTTTTCCATAAAATCATCGGCTATTTACTGGGCAGCCATTCCAAGCTTGATTTCACCATGAGTCTCATGTTTCGGGAAACCATTTTCAAAGGAGAAAAGCCAGTAGTGGCAACTGCTCTGACCAAAAGTGTAAGTTTGAAAGCAATAGCTTGCTAAAGGCCCTGCTAATGAAAGCTAGCTGTTTGCACCTTTATCCACTAAAGAAACGTTGACTATCATTATTAATAAAATGTTATTTGTAGACATATCTTCAATTAGTTTAATGGGTGTTCTCTTCACATTTTTCATTATCTGTAGGTCTCACTTCTGCATTAAAAAATATTCCATAATGAGGGTCATTATATTTTGACATTTTGGAAATGTAGTGATATAGGTAACTAGCCAAACCCTGCCCTTGTCAATAAGCAAACAATTTTAGAAATTCAAAAACAATTTTCCTTCTTGGGCTGTGTACTTTTAGTACACATGAATAACAGAAAACTCTCTTGCGAGGTTCAAACCAAGTCATTGCAAACACACTTCTTTTCACAGAAAAAAAGGGAACAATCTTTCTTCCTTACTTCCATGGGCTCACATATAGTGTTAAGAAAATGGACATCTCCTTACCTCTTTTAAGAAAGTGTACATTATGTTGTTTGGAAATTGTTCAGAAAAAGGAAGGAAGACCCATTAAGTAGGAAGTGACAGCTGATTATAAAACAAAACAAACAAAAAACCCCAAAGCCACGATGAATCTCAAATGACAGATGTTTGCATTAAAAAGGAGAGAGTAAATTTAGCGAAAGGAGTGATTAGCAGGTATAATCATGGTTGTTGTGGTAAGAAAAGGAAACTTTACTCTAATAATCAAAAATATATCATCATGGAAGTGCTACTGGAGTGGAGATATACAGATACACAGATGGAAAAGTGGGGAGAGAAAGAGAGGGTAGAGTGAAAGAGAACACACTTGATCGTATATTTTCATTCAATATATATGGAGAAGGAAAAAGAAAGCTGAGAATACAGAAATTAGGACCAAGAAATTTTAGATCAGAATATCACATGAAAAGAGGGAACTGGGGAAGGAAATCAGAGGGCATCCATGAGACCCTGCACTGGTAAAGCAAATGGCTGATAGAAGCACATCTCCTACCATCCATCTTCTATGTGGTTTATAAAAATTGAGAATGCCAATACCTGGGACAATGAAAATGTTATAGAATATGAAATGAAATATGAAAGAAAAGTAAAACAAAGTAAGAAAAGTGTTTTTGGAGATTATAAGAAGTGAATGATCAGGCTAAACAATAGTTAAAGGGATATGTCAAGATACTAAAATTAGGTATTCTGATTTGTTTAGCTCTTCTTAATATTTTTACATTTTTCTTCTTTTTAATATGTGTTGAGTGTTATTATCAGCTAGGCACAATGGTAACCATTTTAAATCCACCGTCACATTTGATCCTCTTTATAACCCTATGAGGTAGGTATTGTCATTACTCTCAATTTATAGATGAAGAAGCTGAGATTCAGGAAGATTACATAACTTGCCCCAAATTGCATAGATGGTAACTGGGGACTAGGATTCAATATTCAGTCTTCTTTATATTAAAGTTGATGCTTTCAATTATTATTTTCTATTGCTCTTTTATGATATAAAGAGCATTAATAGTATTAAAAAACATGTCAGATGCCTGGAGAATAATCCAGTGGTTCATTTGAGAATCAGAGTCATATTTTGAAGAGAACTTATGCTGGATATTCTTGAATTAAAATGTGTATAAGGGGGAGAAAAGCCTGTGTAGTTTTTAAAAGCTACATAGGTAAGTTATAAAATGCCACAGGAAAGCAAAGGAGAATATTAGACTGTTTTCTGAAGGAGATCTAAGCCATATCTAAAATCTGTATGATTTACCTATGAAAAGAAGGTTAACCTCATTAGCCATCTCGGAAATGTGAATTGAAACAATGAGATGCTATTTCACATTCCCTGGAATGACTAAAACAAAGCCTGATCATGCCAAGTGTTGCTGCAGATGTGAAACAACTAGGACCACTGGTGAGCTTATAAAATGGTACCATCACTTTGGAGAACTGTCTGTCAGTTTCTTATAAAGTTAAAAACATATCTACCTTATGCCCTATAAATTCCACACCCAGGCAGATATTTACCCAAGAGAAATGGAAACATATATCCATGAAAAATTTGTACGTGAATGTTAATAGCAGCCTAACTCATAAAAGTCAATAACTGAAAACAACTCAAATGTCCACAGACAGAAGAATATATAAACAAATTGTACATTCAGGTATTAGCATACTACTCAATAATAAATTAGGAATACACAAATGATACATGCAATGTGGACAAACCTTACAGACATAATGGTGAGCAAAAGAAGCTAAAAGATTCCATTTATACGAAATACAAGAATAACTCAAACTGATCTATGGTAACAGAAATAAGAAACATCTTGCTTATGTGTGTGGAGAGGGGAAGGGATTGACTGGAAAGGGGATAATAGACTTTCTGGAGTGACAGAATGGTCCATAACTTGTTTGGGATGATGGTTACACAGCAGTGTAGAGTTGTCAAAATTCATGGCATTGAACACCTTTAAGGTTGGTGCATGTACATTATACTTCAATTTAAAAAATATGTAGTTCCGATTATCACGCCCTTTTTCCATTTACAGAAGAGAAAACTGAGGCTCAAGGAAGACAGGTAAGACTATATGGCTCTAGAATTAGAGCACTTATATCAGAATCCAAGTCTTCTCATTTTGAAACCCATGCTTTTTCCACTTTCTAATAGCTTTTATATGATTATAAGTCTCTCCTTTATAATGTATCCATATAATTAACAAAACAAGCAAACGAATGGACTGCAACATGTTTTCAATAATAAAAGTGTTAAAGTGAGAAAATTGCAAAGGCTAAAGCATCACAATTAACTAGTTTTGATGCTTTTCTGGACTGATACCCATCACCAGCTCTAAAACTCTCTTTGTATAGGTGGCACTAGCCTCCATGTCCAAGAGTAGCCAATTGTTTTTTTCTGAGTACTATAATCTATCCTCTGAGAACAACCAGGGAAGATGACTTGGCACCTTTGTCAGGATTATATTTTATGTTTAAGGAGTCCCTCCCACATTGGTAAATGTAATGAGTGGAGTGCATTTCATTTCATTGAATCACTTCTATAGACATTCACAAAAGATCAGCTTCTGTGCACTTCAGTCAGACGCGCGGTTATGAAAGTGCCATAAAACCTGTGTGATCACCACCTGCATGTAAAAAATGCCAGCAATAACTTACCAAAATATTTCTAGTGAAAATATGACTTTGACCCAGATGGCAAAATAGGCTGCGTTGGCCATAAATCTGCAGGCAGTAAATGGGCAGGTGGTAAATCTGTTATCATTGCTACTGTTTTCTCAACACTTTATCTGTGCACCCTTTTCTTAAGGATATAAAAATTCTAGAAATATGGAAGAAGAAACAAAATACTGACTGGAAATTCTGGTGTGAGGTATAAGTTTCTTGAAATTTAGGTAACCTGTCCTTAGATTATAGGCTCAGGTCTGAGATGCTGGGAAATAAGAAAAAAGTGTTCTGAGAATAGAGTATAAAATGTATCGAAATTGCCAAGTTCATTTCCTATCAGTTTTGGCAGCAAGGATCACACTGGAAATGCAAAGTTTGTCTTCCTCTTTACATAGAAAAGCAAATATTCTGTAAACATCAAAAGTTTATTTACCTCTCAACTTCTATTTCCTATGGCAATTGCTTCTACTCAGAATGAGAGAATGAGTATGACAAGGTTACCTTGGACATGGTGGAATAAACCACAGTCAATTTAGAGATAGCTTGTGATAATGTTTAGATTTAGGGACAAGATCACACCGCATTAAGTGGAGATTTAGTTTTCTCCAAAAGGGAATGGACATACTCAATATCTGTCACCCTGTGAAGAAGTGTTTTAATCCTGGGGCAAAAAGTGATGCAGAAATTTGGACTCTGGGGAAAGCATCTCCATGACCCTTTAGACCTGGAATATGTGAGCCTGATTCTGAGGCATGCATTCTAGTGGTCAAGGGGAGCTGCCATGTCTATGTAGAGTTAGATTAGGAATTCCACCCCATGATTTCTAGACCGGTGTATTCTTCCTGGAAAATGTACTTCCTCCTCCAGATTACTGCCTGCAACATGGAATCTCAGCTGTGCTTTCAGCAGGCTGTTGTAACTCATTATAAGGTCAATAGTCTGGATGAAGCAGGATACAACCAGTGAATCCTGTGGTCATGGGTCCATTCATGCACCTCTTTGGCTATAAGAGGGAAGCCCTGGTGAATGGGATCTTTCATGTTAGTGGCCCAAACACACAGTGAGCCTTCAAATAGTGAATCTGGCTCGGGCCCTAATGCAGGAAAGACAAGCCAGTATGGGAAGTGTATCTATTCCTGTGAGAACAAACCACTGACCTTTCCAGAATGCAAGGTAAACAATGCAGTCAACTTGCAACTGTGTGGCTACTTCTCCTCAAGCAATTATGCCATATAAGCTCAGCATTAGCTTGCTGTGGGCAATTCCCTTAGTTGGACGTTTGGCAGCAACAGGAGCTAGATCAGCCTTGATAAATGGGAACTGATGTTGTTGGCCCCATCTGTAGTATTCATATTTGCCATGACGGCCACTTTGTTTATGTGCCCATTATTGTGCCAGCACTCATGTGACCAATGATAGCGGTTGGCTGGCAGTGACTGGTCAGATCATTTTATCTACTTGGTCATTTAGTGCCTCTTTCATTGTGGATGTTCTGTACTGGATATTAACATGTAACACAAAGATCTTCTCACTTTGTGCCCACTGCAATAGGCCCATCCGTGTGTCTCTACCTCATTACTCCTTGTCTATGACTTTTCAATCTTTTACTTCCAGAACATTTGGAGAGGCTACCTCTTGACTGCTTTTTTGGGCCACTTCTCTTTCCACAGTAGATGTCAAGTTGCACTGCCTGAATCCCCTACTCATTGAGAGAATTTTGCCTCACCACTGTGTTTCAAGGGTACACACACTATAAGTCTATACTGCAGCCACTATTCATTTTTGGCTCACACTCACATACAAAGACAAGCCTCTGGAAACCAAATGGAGACTACTTCCTCCTCTGTTGGTCGGTCATACTTGATCTCCCATGTGGCCTAGATGTGGGCTGAGGGAGGGGTGCTCGTGCGACAGTGTCATGGGGTTCTGAATTATCTGCTCACACTGCTTTCTTTTGGATTTTTGTCATGCTCATGCTTTGTCCCAAATGTCCTACTTTCTTATGATGGTTGTGAGGGAGGGATCCAGCAATAATCCTTAAGACTTAGTGGGTCTGAAAGGATCAGGCTCATGATTATATAATTTCTGACAGTCATCACTTAGTGTCCCATGACTGTGTGTTCTGTCTCTACCAGGACCAGTAACACGACAGAACGAATTTCTCGTAGGGCATATAGTTCTGCTGCAAATGCCGTGACGTCCCTTCAGAACTCTAGGGGCCTATGTTGTGATTTTTCCACTAGGGCTTGCCACAGATTCCTTGTGGTATCATTTCCCATCATGCGTAACTCCAAAGCATAAGATCCACGAGACTGTGTGACCCAAGCGGTGGGGCTATTGCACCTTAGTCTGAACCTACGGCAGAACCCTCTTCTGCTTTGGGCTTCACTCTAATTTGGTTCAATCTTTTGTGTCAATCAGTACATTTCTAGGTATGGAATGAACGTATTCTTTTTTAAAACCTGAAAATATCCACTAAGACATTGTGTTTCCTTCTTTATATTAGGTGGTGTAAGATGCAATAATTTTTTTTCTTTACTTAGGACCTTTCAAATTGTTTTGGATAGGATGGCCCCTTAAGCCGCACAGGATTTATCTCCCACCCTGTGGAATGCATGTGTTCTACTAAGGCCTCCAGAATGTTAGCTACCTCTTGCTCATCTGGCATGATCAATATAATATCATCAATGTAATGGATTAATGTGAAGTGCTATGGGTTTTCCAGATGGCCCAGATCTCTTCAGACTATATTATGGCAGAGGGCAGAAGAGTTAACGTAGCCCTGGGGCAAAACTGTAAATTAATATTGTTGTTCAATTCATGTAATGTGAACTGTTTCTGATTGTCTGCTCTGATTGAGATAGAAAAGAACACATTTTCCAGAATAATGGTTTTATATCAAGCTCCTTAGGCCATATTAATCTGCTCTAGCAATACACCACATCTGGCATGGCAGCTGCAAAGGGACTATTACTGGGTTAAGCTTGTAGTTATCTTTCAAGATCCATCTTGTTTCTCCAGGGTTCAGACTAGTGAACTAAATAGTGATGTTATGAGAACAAATACCCCTGCATCCTTTAGATCCATAAGGGTGGCACTAATCTCCAGCCCAATCTCCCACTCCCAGGATTAAATAGTGTTTTTGATTTCCTATCTTGGCTGGGAGGTGGAGGAAGCAGGTTTAGGGGCTTTCACTTGGCCTCACTCTGTATGATAGCTCTTACCCAAGTGACCAAAGATCCAATAGTATTGTTTTGCCAACTTTCAAGTGTCATTCTTATTTATGGGTTTGAGGACAAGAGAAATGGCCATTAGTAGATACACCACAGGCAAACATTATCTATCCACAACTTTATTTTATCATTTATCACCTGACCCTTATGTGCCCTCATTCTAGCAGGGAGATCATGATGATGGTCTCTGGATATCAACATCAGTTTAGATCATGTGTCCAATAGTCATCAAAATATCTAGTACTTAATTTCCCCAATCAAATGGCCATAGTCCCTTTGAGGGAGGACTGGAGGAATCAGTACTATGTACACTTACCATACAATTGTGGGGTCATTATTCCTAGAGACCCTCCCACATCTTCATTGAGGGGGCTTTCTGTCTGCAAACTGGCTCATGTCTAGAAACTGGGCAAAGGATCATGAATTCTTGCTGCTCGACTGCCCTCATCATCCTGCTCATCTAACCTTGAGTTCTTTTGCTGGTACAAACTGAGTAGTGCCCCTTTTGCCAGTTTTTGTATTTTGCCCCTACAGAAGCTATGTTTTATTAACATGCCCATAAGCATCTGTGGGCCAGAATTCTTTGGATATCACTCTGATATAGCTTTCATTACAAAAAATGTAGCCCCCTTAGATGCTGGTAATGAAGCACTGCCACTTAGTTTCTATTGTGGAGTCTTGTTATCCACGCTGATATCAGTGGGCCAAAATCTGTAATCTCTCTCCTCCTTCCAGTTCTGGTCCAAAGAGCTACTACTGAATTTTAAGTTGATACTGGTGCCATCCCTTTAGCACATACCTCATGGCCTTGGTAAATAGTATGTCCACTGGCCCTCATGTGGAGCATAATAATAATCTGCCAGGTCTTTCAGCTGTACATTGAATATCCACCCCAGAATTTTCCTGACCCCTTTACCCTTTTCCTCCAGAGCCTCTCATGGCAATTCTGGCATTTCAACTTTGCACTATCACTTTTTCCATGTTTCTAGGAGTTATCCTATTATGGAGTTCACAACATCTCCTGGGGTGGATCCCTGCTAGTTAAATCCTGTACCTTGAGAAGACATACCCATATCAATAAAGCCTTCTCTATTCAATTTTATATTGTACCCCTTTTGAATAAGTACCCTCAGAATCGGTCCCACATGCACTCACCCAACCCCAGTTACTACATTTTATCTGGGTCTGCCAGTTCCTTTGGGGTATAGACCATCTCATCCCACCTGGATTATGCTGTGACTTTATCATAGTTTCAAGCCTAGTGCCAGGAGGGGAGGGAAGGGCAGGTCCTGAGGTAGATACATATCACCTTGAAGGAGAGAGAATTGCACTCTCAACAGTTACAACAGCAAATGCTAGCTATTAATAAGGAGGCTAGGCCGTATCACAAGCTCAGAAAACTTAGGGAGTCAAAAATGTACCCAGATATCTCCATCTTGACCTTGGCCTTAGTTGGTACTTAAACTTCTTTCATGTTTGGCAAATCTGACTATTAAATCCAGAACTTGGCCCTCAGCTTTCTTCAACCTCTTATTAGAGCAGATGCTAACATCTTTGTATTAAACGAAAGAGGCTTCTACATCTGGATTTCTACTGCCTATTACCTAATCTCAACATTTTTTTAATAAATAAATGTTGTACAATAGAAATGCAATGTGAACTGTATGTATACTTTCAAATATTTCTAGTAGTCACCTTGGTAAAACAAAACAAAAAAAGGTAAAATTAATTTAATGATGTAGTAAATCCAATATATCTAAAACATTATCATTTTAATGTGAATCAGCATAAACAATTAATGGGATATTTTACATTTTTTGCATTGAGTCTTTAAAATCTGATGTGAGTTTTATACATACAGTTCATCTCAGTTTAAACTAGCTATGTTTCAAGTACACAATAGCTACACATGCTAGTGGGCATTGTATTGGGCAGTGCGGCTGTAGAGCACCAGTGGTACATAGCAGTAGCCACCTACTATTGGTATATCGCTGTATGTATTATTTTCTACATGCATTCCAATGACTGCAGTGACATCAGCTGCTAGCATATGCCCTTCTATCAATGTGACCTCACACTGTACTATATTATTAAAGGTGAAAGTTTCCATTGGTTGCCATTTGTGCCAGGTACCATCTATGTCCCCCTTTAGTAGTGATGAGATATCATTACCTGCCTGGTGATATGTAATCTACCTCCAAAAACCAAACCCCATCTTTCGACCTGCTTTCTCAATCTGATCCACGTATTGACTGTTGCAGATTGTATTCTCTGGAAGCAGATGCTGAGTTTGCATTTAAGATGTTTGATGGAGAACAGCACCTGTGAAAGGAAGGAGAAAGGAAGCAGGAATGGGCAGAGGAAGATATCAAGCTGTGATGAATGTCTAACAAAGCTTTGCTAACCTGGTGGGGAAGTCCTAGAGCTAAAATGACCACCAAAATTATCCCACGTAAGGGAAATGGCTGGGACGTTATACTACCACCTTCCTCAGTCATTGAACATGGGCTATTTGAGCCAGGTGGCTAATGCCAACAGAAAGAAGCTGACAACTTGAGGCAGTCTCCTATCATACCCCTTGACAGGAAGTCTTTTCTTGAAGTGGAATATGGTGGCACATCTCCATGTCCACATGGAGGCCACTGGTAAACTTCAGATATAGAAACTCTGCCAGAAGAGTGGAAGCAGAAACCTGATTGGAGTGGGCTGAGGAAAGAATGCAGCTTCAGAAAACATGGACTGTTGGTTTACTGTGGAGGCAAATAAAGTAATCGTGGTGAGATGGAGGGTGACAAGGGTTAAGACAGCTTTTGCAATTTTTTTCAAAGTAAGAGATAGCAAAGAAAATAAGAAATTCATGATAAAAAATGGATAATTTTAGGAGGAAAGTTTTTGAGAGATCAAAAGGAATGTAATGCAAGCACAATTTGAAGGGCTGTCTTTTGATAGGACCAGGAATATTTTATCCATGCTAATAGTCAAGAAGGCAGAGAGTGTAAGTACAGATGGGGATTAAGTGGTAGATTGGGGGGTAGGAAGAAGAGCTATTTCCTACTTGAGCGTATGAAACAAAGTTTTCCACTAATCAGGTGAGAGCACAAGTATGTGGGTGGTCTGTTGGAGAAAAGGAGGAGAATCAGATAGGAGGTTTTAGGAAAAAGAAGGTATGAAATTGTTGAATGTAGGCAAGCGAGCATAATAAGGAAGAAAATTAAGATGTCATGTATTATTGAGTTTTGTGGTCATGGATCTGGATTCAGACCAAATAGCAAGTAGATAAGCAAATACTTGGATTTTGCTGGGTTTTCTGAATTTCCTGGATGAGTTTTTTAAAAGATAATTAGGATGAGAAAATTTATGGTGTTTCAAAGGAATTGATTTTATTGATGCTCTTTGAAATCCAATTTGAGTAAAAAGCAAATTAAGGACATGGGAGGGTGGGCAGGAATGCTGATTGACAGAGGAAAAGTAGCGAAGTTCCAAGAAAGAGCAGTATGTTAAACCTTTTAAAACTTCAGTTATGATCCAATTTATCAGTGATCACTGGATGACACAAATGGAAAGAGAAATTTATAGGTGGAAAAAGGGGAGGAAGAGGGTATTGATGACAGATTTTACCAGTACTACATTTGGTGGTAGGTTTGTTTCCTGTGTACATGCAAGGAACCAAGACACCTACTGATTGGAATCTAAGGACTTAGAATATCTGCTGGCAATGAAATATAGTAAAAAGAACATTGGATATTGCATCGAAAGATCTGGGTTTAAATCCTAGTTTTATCATTTTATTTTATTCATTCATTCCTTTATTCAAAAAATATTAATTTAGCAACTATTGCATGCTGGCACTTTTCAAAATGCTGAGTAACAATAATAAACAAATTGAAAAGTTCTCCTCTCACAGGCTTACAGTCTAGTGGCATTACATTGCTAGAGAAGGAAGAAAGACTATACATAAGTAAGTATAATAAAAGATATAATTTCAAGTTATGGGAAGTACTATAAAGAAAATGAAAAGGAGTATTGAGATAGCTAGTGACTTTGGCCGAGGGTGAATAGCCAGCAGTTAGGAAAGATCTCCAAGGAGGTGACTTCGGATCTGAATGACAAGAAGGAATCACCTACGCAAAAGAAGTAGTCTAGTCAGAGGGGAAAGCAGCTAGCTCTGTTAGATTTGACAAGTCTTATAAAATATTGCTATTTCAGTAAACTCATTAAAAACCTTTTAATGTGTTTCAATATTGTACTTTTGCTATGGTATTATAGTGTTAATACTGTTTCAGTTCTATTCATGGTGATGATTAGATTACCTAACTGGAAAATTGCAAAATTTACTATATGGTGAGTGCCTCAAACAAATATTAGAGATCTTGGAGGGAAGCACACCATGCTGTCAATTTCATTCTCTGTGTAAAACAAAAACCGTGATTTCAAAAATGTCATTATGATATAATTGGACATGACTTTTTTCCCACTTAAAATGGATAAGACAGCAGCAGCCTTTAAGGTTCTAGGACACAAAGGAAAGCTTAACAAAAGTGTAGGA